TTTTTTTTTTTTTTTTTTTTTTTCTGCTTCATATCTTCCCATAATTTTCTCGTTTTAGTTGTAAATTGGGAGTGGACTCGTCGAGAGATAAACCAAAAAAAAAAAATCCACTCATGAAGTCCACTTATAGTTACCAAAATATATGCAGACGTTTTATTCTTGCCACTTTTTTTTTTTTTTTTTTATTTTTTTTTTTTGCTGCTTCGCTTCACTTGTGGAGGGCATATCCCATGTGTGCAGTTTCCATTGCAGAGCTACACGTAAAAGCACACCCGTCGCAATGGTGGTAGCACCCCTGAAGGAACTGCGTCTTGTGTCGAATTAGAGCACAGGGCAAGCGAAGAGCAGCCCATCAAAACAGCGTCGTTGTTGGAGGGGGCCGTCCTGCTTGTGTCCTGAAAGAGGAACTCTTCATTTGTGAGTTGTGTGCCCCCTTCGCAATTTGTGCATTTGGATAGAGTCAAGGTCAAGTCCAGACGAGTGTGTGCCCCTGGGGAGGCGTACCGCGTTCTCATGTACAGGAATGTGCACCTCATCCGGGTTAGCTGATCTCTCTCCTCCCATATGCGTATATGCAAACGAGGAGACCAAACAATTGGACAAAAAGACCTCAACAAAAAAACTGAGAAGAAGAAGAATAGCAGCACATATTATCATATGAACACGTTGCACCTGCGAGGAAACGACTTGGAGTTAACGAAGCGGTACCCCACTATTCCTTCATTTTTTATCCTAAAGGAAATATAGCTGCCCCCTTTTTTTTGGCATCTATTTTGTTCCTAGTAATGATGAATGCAGAAACTGTACTTGTAGAAATGACCTTTCCAAAGTACACCATTGTTTTTTAAAAAAAAAAAGCAGCACGATATATATATATGTGCCCATTTGTATGTGTAAAGGTTACATATATGTACACCTTTACGAGGAAGGAGTTCGCGTCATTCCATGCGCCTGTGCACACACCAGGGCGAGCACATCCCTGTGTATGTGCATTTACATAAGGTTAAAGGTGTCGCCCCACTAGTTGATCTATCGGTGGGTCTTGTGGGCGATCATATGTAGGAGTCTTATTCAGTTCGTCAAAAATCGGTTCCATTTTGTCCATTTGGTTCTGTTTGTTTGTTCTCTCCATTTGCGTCACTCCTGCAACCCCATATGTGCCGTGCTGCACACGTATGAAAAATCCCATCTGAGGTAACAGCGAAAATGTACAACAGTAACGACGATGAAGAGGAGAACTACTCGAGGAATAGAAGAAGCAACTCATCAGATAGTGGGAACGGGGATGGAAATGGAATGCTAAACGACCCAATGAACACATATAACCATTACAATAACTTTAATCGGTTTCACGAACAAAATATGCAGGCATGTAAAATTGACGAAATTTATGTAGACGATAGTTATGATGAAAATAATAATTACGTTCAGAAAGGAGACAACCAAAACGACAATAACCATTTTGAAATAAATAAAAATGTAAATTTCGATGGACCATACAGTTATAAAAATTTGAGGGACGTTACGGAAAATGAAATTGAATTAGTGGTGGAAAATTTTTTCGATCGAATTAGAAATAATGAAGATGTGTACTCAGAATGGAAAGTATGTCCCAATTTTATTTTTCGACTTTTATTTATTGCAAAGTCGAGGTCCCATAATTATATGTACCCAGTGGCATCATCCTTCATTGAAGCCATCGCCAAGGATGACTGGGTTCCTGATTGGGGATTCAGTAGTGTACAGTATTATATAATTCTAATCAATTTAGCAGATTATAGAAAATCCTATTACAAAATCGATCACTTTAGTTTTTCTCATTTGAATACTGACCGAGGCTGGCACAATTTTGTTCCCTTTGAAAAATTAAGGGAACCAGGATTTATTAACGAAAATGGGCAAATCGTTTTAAGGGCCGGAGTCTTCCCTTTCGGTTCAGAATCTTTTAAAAACAGCAGAGATATAAACTATGATAGTAAATCTAGGACAGGATTTGTTGGTCTCCAAAATCATGGAGCCACGTGCTATATGAATGCCCTTCTACAACTCCTGTATCATATTAACATTTTTCGAAAAGCTGTTTGTATGATGATTTTTAACATTGAGAATATTATTGGTGAGAAAACTTTAGAGTTTTTTAAAAAAAAATTTGAAAAAAAAAAACGAAAGAAAAAGTTGTGCCTCAGTAGTGACAAGAGTTGCACCACACAGATGATAGCTCAAGGTGGGGACGTGGACTCCAAAAACGAGAAAAATCGAAAAAAGAAAAAGACCAAGTTTGAACAAGTAGACAGTTCCGATTCGGAACGCTTCAAGGGGGCATCCCTCATGAAGATGGTCCCCTACACACCTAGTGATAACAACGGGGAGGAAGGTAATCCTGATGGGGATGGTGATATCCGCCAGGGGGACGAACACAAACGGGATGGGGATCAGCATGATATTCGAATCCAAGGTAGAGCCTTTGGAGAATTGGATGTCATGCCAAACCCTAATGAATCCCACTTGTACGAAATGACAAAACATAATCACAATATTCGAGTAAAGAATGACATGAAGAATGCCGACCTACACATAAATCATCTAAGCAGGAGCGACAACAATGATAATGGCAGTAGCTGTACTGGTCAGCTTAGGCACTCGCATGAAGACCCCCCTTTGGGAGCACCACATAATGCGGCCCTAGGGGATGGGTCGTCCCCCTTCAGTGGGTCCCCTCTGATGGAACGTCCATATGACCACCTCCATCAAGTCCAACCGGATAAAGTAGAAAACGTAAAAGAGAAAAAAAACATGAGCGAATATCAACAGACGTACGCTCCCCATGAACAGTTAAGCAACAACGATGGGGAAGAAACACAGGAAGGGTCAACATATCGACCCGGCAATGTTGTAAATATTGGTCGAATCAACAGTAACGACATTTCCAAAATTTCACACATGCCTAGTGTCGGGGCGCAGGAGTACGAAATAAAGAATAATAAAAAGCATGCCTATGTGCACAATTCGTCGTCTGACCCATCCATAGACACAGGAGGGGTGCAAAATAATGTGAGCAACAACGATAGCGGTGAGGTGTACTATGATAATTCTTTGTACAAAAGCGAAGGGTACAACAATGAAATGGGCATGACAATGAATTGTAAGAAGAACAAGAAAAAAGGCATGGTGTACGATTCGAAGAAGAATTTAAAAAAAAAAAAAAAAATTTTCAAATATGCAAATGACAGAAAAGTGGACCAAACGGAAAATAACGATCATGTCATGTCTCCCTTTAGCTCCTCCGATAATTTATCCAACATTTCTACCTTGTCCAAGGAGAAGAAGAAAAAGAAGTTTGCATCTAACAACAGTTTTCATTTAACGTCATGTGGTAACGTGAAGAAGGAAAATGATAGCTCAATGAAGAATGCCATGGGTCACTCCGAAGGGGAAGAGGGCCCCATACCGCGGGATGGAGAATCTTCCCCCTTGGGTGGCTTCCATGGCTCTAGTGCAGAAGCGGATGGAGACGTGGATGCTGACTCTGGTGCAGATAATCACCACCATCAGAGAAGTGGTGTCCTGCGGGGAGACGAGGACGCCTCCTACTCAGACAGCGACATGTCAGTCCTGTCCATCACTTCCTCCGGGTCATCGTCCTACGTGTCCTGCTCCTCGACCTCCTCCTCCTATTACCACAAAAATAAAAGGAAAACAAAATATGATAAGTCGAAAGAAATAGATTACAAGAACATCCTCCTGGAGGAAGAAAACGAAAAGAAAAATATCCTCCCAACATCATTGGCGTTACAAAATTTGTTTTACAAGTTACATTGCATGAATGAAGCTGTGTCATGTAAAGAGCTCATAAGATCCTTTGGATGGGATGCAAGTGATGTGTTCACGCAACAGGACACACACGAGTTGTTAAAATTGTTACTAGATAAGGTGGAAGAACAAATGAAAGGAACGGTAGTCGAAGGGTCAGTGAAAAAAATGTTCGAAGGAGAAGTAGAAACTTATATAGAATGTTTAGACATAGATTATAAAAGTGTGAGAAAAGAAACCTACGAAGATATTCAGCTGGACGTACAAGGCTGCAACAATATTTATGAATCTCTGGATAAAGCAATCGAGGCAGAAGTTTTGGAGGGAGATAATATTTACGAAACAGATGGCTATGGAAAACAAAAAGCCAAAAAAGGCATGAGGTTTTTGAGCTTCCCCAATATTTGTATATTTCTCCTGAAAAGATTTACATTCGATTTGCAACGGATGGAAACGGTGAAGTTGAATAATCGATTCGAATTTTATAAAGAGTTGGATCTGTCGAAATATTGCAAAAGTGGAGGACAGTATATTTTACAGGCCGTATCAGTGCACCAAGGGAATATGAATAGTGGGCACTACTACTCCTTTAGTTATAAGCACAATGAAAATTTTTGGCTCAAATGTGATGATGATAAAATATTTCGGGTCAGTGAATACTCCGTCATTAATGACAACTTTGGTGGGTACGACATTAACATGGAAACTGATCTCTACGACTTCGATATCGCAGATAAAATTAAGCAGAGGATGAAACATTACAGCGCCTATATGCTGGTCTATGTAAAAAAATCTCTCATCCCCAAACTTATTAAAGAGTGTGATCCAGCGGTGGTCAACCCACAGGTTGTGAAAAGATGCAGAATGGAAGAAATTATCAACAGAAGGAGGACAAAATTGAAACAAGAAATTTTACAATACGTAAAAATTAGAGTATTCGACAAGTACTCCTATTTGTACAAGTCGTTCAGTGACTTACCCCCAGTAGGAATCCCCTCCCTCTTCAACATCAAATTTGATAGAAACAAAACCGTCTTGGAAACCTTCTGTAAAATTTTGAAAATCATAAAGAAAATTTATCTCTGCAAGAGGAAGAAGCGTGCGGATTATTTGCTTTGCCAGTCTAGGAAGATGAAGATGGAAAAGACGGAGAAGGTGGAGAACGAGTCGAAGCAGAGGGACAGTCGTCCCATGGGGGACCATACTACATCCGGGCTACTCAAATCGGAAGCCTCATTAGACTGCGGCCACCCCTACCGTCAAGCTCTCCTGGGAAAAAAATTCGACCGAGGGAGCACTACCAAGGAAGAACGTGATAATATAGCGGGAGCGACATCCAGCCGAAGCGACCGCGGAAGCAGCGATGGAAATGGACGCCATCAACCCGCACACGCAAAATTAAAGGAGCAAAAAACGCACGAAAAGAAGTGGAACGAATGCATCCAGGAGAAGGGCCCTCGAAGGGATGCGTCAAAAAAAGGGGTGAGCAAACGCGGATTGAACGCAGAGTGTACTACCCCCGAAGAGGGACCTGGCGACCTAAATGACGAGTGTGACAACCACTCGGAGGAGCTTCCTTCGCAGAGCTGTGATGTGGAGGATTCCTTATCTACCGTGTCTTCAGTCCCCTCATGTTGCAGCACCAAGTCAATAGATAAATACATAAAATATTTATCCAAGAGGAAGAATGAAAGGGTGAAAAAGAGATCGTCCCATGTGAACAACTCTAGAATGAAAAATTTTTCTTCTTCAAATAATTCGTCATACTACTCCTCTTCGTATATGTCCAACTCGGGGGAAGACTCCTACTCCTCCGCCTCTTCCTCCTCATCGAATGGTTATGTAAAAGAGAAAAAATGTTTCTACGTGTTGCTGCCCACCAATGATGTGTACCGCTACTTCCCCTTAGACATGAAAATCAACAGTCAGCTGTACCTCTACGAACTTCTAAAAAAAACGAACAAAGAATCGAATGACCTATTCCCAACCATAGACATATTATATTTGCCCTATAATAAAAAAACGTCCATTCGAAAAAATAATTCGAGCACAAAAAATAAAAACGTTTTGTTTTTTTTTAAATATTTTGATATTTACGCCGAAGAAAAAATAGGTGATACGTCCCTCATCTGTCTGGACCTCATGTACTGCGATGTGTACCTCAAGCCCAAGGAGTTAGAATCAGTGATTATTCAAAAAATATTAAAGGCAATGAAAAAAGGTTACATTACCAGCTATAATTATGACCTGTGGCGGAATTATCTCAATGAGGAGGAAGAATACTACTACGTAGATGATCCTCTGAATTTCAAAATTTTCATTGAATATAAAAATAAGTGTAACTTAATAAAGTCAAAAAAAATTATTGCTCACAATAAAATGGTTCCGGGGGACATCCTCATCTTTAACTTTTTAAGTAACGCAGAATTGGAAAAGAAGAAAAATTTTATCCTTCGCTTAGGCACAAGGAAGGAGGACCTTTTTCTTACCGAGGAGAATCTAGTTACCTATGATCTGTTTTTTAATGCTGATGTGTTGAGTAAAATTTTGTACAGGAAGAAAAAACTCATTGAAAAAATGCACAACTGCTATTACATTGTTAGTAATAAAAATGGCGTCTACTACAAGGTGTTGTCTTCCTGCGTGTCGGATTCCGGTGACTGTGCCTTCCCAGCCATGTCAAGCACCGCAATTTCTAACCCGAACGGGGATCCCACTGGTGGAGAACCTTCCCAAAAGGACCATCTTAATGATGAATATTTTATGAATGAATCGAATTCAAATTTGAGGAAGAAAAAGATGAAAAAGGAAACGGCATCCGAAGTGCCGGTCCCACTGGATGCTAACATCGATCTTGCCTCTCCTGGTCGTATGCAGCAAGGGAATTTGTTCGCCTACGGGGAGGAAAAGAATGGTGCGAACGCTTCTCCAGACAACGAAGAGGCAGAAGAAGAGGAACACTCACGCAAGACTCAACTAGGATGTGACAGAACGAAAGGCAGCAGCTCCCGCTTGGGCCAAAAGGACGGAGTCAACCCAGCGCTCCATGCACAGCATGAAGAAGATGCAAAGCACACACACCGTGCGGAACCCCACCTGCCGATGAACACAGACCACCATATGAAAGACAACACACACGTAATGGACGAACACATGGATGTTGAAAACGAAAACTTCAGTGCACTAAATATTACGAAAGAAAATCTGAGCAGCCAGGAAGTGATGAACCTTTATCTTTACCTGAAAAAGTTCAACACCAAATTTGAGAAAAACGGAATGAACTACGACTACTCCTTGCTAAGTAAAGACATGTTGGTGTCCGTGAACGAAGCAGCCGCTAGTAACAAAAAAATAATTTTTAAAAAGAAGAAAAAGCACCCGCCTAACATTTTCAACAATGAGTGTGTAAATATTTGTAGAGATTACCAGTACCCATTTTACTCTCCTCCCACTTCGGATCTCTCAACGGATGACGAAAAAAGAGTGCCTCAAAAAGGTATACAAAGGGAACAAGTCAAAAGGAAGAAGAAAAAAAACAACCACGACGAGGCTGTGATGGGTGTTTCTATGCAAAATATAAATTACACCAGTGGATATTATCAAACCGGGGTAACCCACATGGAAATTAACACAGCTAAAAATGAAGACAGTCAAGCGAACGAATTAGTGTATAAATGCAACTCCAATAACATCAACGCGTTAGGAGAAAAAGCAACACACGTGAAAAACACCTCCGCGATGAGCAACAGTGATCTTAAAAATGATTATGGACACAATAGCAACCTGCGATTACCCAGCGTAAACTTTAATTCTTCTAACGAAAATAACATTTCAAATGACCTAATCGCCAGGAATGACTCCGAAATATCGTTCTGTTCCTCGGCCAACTCAGACCTAACATACACCTCGGAGAGCACAGCCTACTACATGTTCAACGCGGAGGAGTCATTAGAATCTATTTACACCAACGAAATATATGATCATAAGAAGAAGCGAAAGAAAAAGAAGAAGAAAAAAAAAAAAAAAAAAAAATAGCTACTTCAACGGAAACGAGGATGGATAATGAGGGGGATCGCTCGGCTGCTCCCCTCAACAGTGGTGAATATAGAGGAAATGTTTTTACCCTAAATTCGGATGATGAGAAAATCGAAGAGTATGTTGATATGGCTCATCGGAGGGGAACAACAAAAGGAGCTAATTATCCCAGTTCGGATGGAAGGGCTGGCCACAACGTCAGATCAAAGGTCAAAAAGGGACAACGTGGTCGAAACCACGGGGGTCATAGTAGCGGTGTAAGCAGTGGCAATAGCAGCGCTAGCCGTTGTAGTAACAGCCAAGAGAGTGAAAATCTCAAGGGCATAGCAACCCCCCACAGGAATAACATGGACGCGGTCTCACACGTAGGAGAGTCAGGTGGTGAACAAATTAACAGAAACAGCAGCTGCAGGAAGACGGGACAGAAAACTTCGGATGGAAGGATCCCCATGAACGGTGAACACGTGAGCGATAGCATTTATTCCTATCATAAGAACAGAGCACACGGTGGTGCAAATCATGGCAACACCACAGCTGGGGCACAAAATGAAATTTCCCAGGGCACTGATAATGATGAGGCCAGCGAGGCACAGATGAACGACAGGAGCAGGGCCCTGCTGCACGAAAATATGAACAGCATAAACAGCATGAATGTAATGGGATCGAATGAAAACGTAATTGGGGTGTCGACACATTGTATGGAAATGTCGTCAAATGTTGGGGTCCCTAACTTCATGGTTCCAAACGAGCGAGCAGGCAATGGCCAAAGCAGCGAACCAGTCAACGATAGCATAATTAGCAGTAATGCCCCTCTGGGTAGTGGCACAAGCCAAATGAATAGGAGAAGGAGAAAAAACAGGAGAGCCAAAATTATAAAAAAGTGTGGTGGACTGAAAGACAAAGAAGAACCCATTTTGCCTTTTTATGTTATATGCGACTATCTAGATTTTGTGGAGAGAAAAATGTATGTAAACAAATTCCGATTTAAATTATATGACCCCATTTATCAGCTGGGGAAGTACCGCAATTGTGCAGGGGTTGTTCTAAAGAAGGATTTAAAAAAAAGCTGTTTAAATTATATCGACTCTAATTTTATATTTTTAAAAAAGGAGTTATGCAAAATTGATCTAGATATTGACATAAGATGTCCAACTAAACAGATCTTTAAGCACGTGTGCTACCGAATGAATGTGGACCCCACACATGTGCTCATATTTCCATACCCCCCGCTAAATAGCCCTATAAATTTTAACCCTTACAATATTGATTCCTTCACCTCTAATTCCGATTCGGATGGAGACAATTACCAAAAAAATAGCAACTCGAATTATGGGCCCATGCCATTTGAAATGCTAATAAAACAACATGCCGTAGCATTAGAGCACAATTCACTCACCGAACAAAAAACTTTTTGTTTGTCTCTTCTTCCATTTCATTACAAATATTTCACCAGACTGTACCCGGAAGATTCCCCCAAATATTTCCACTATGTAGTTCACTTGTTCAACGCAAATGTACAATCCGTTGCGGCATTTACAGGGCATATTAAGCTTAAGAAAAGCCTACCTAATAAGAATAGAGGCGAGGATAATTACTTTCAAGGGGATGTAGACTCTAGCAGTGAGGTCTCCGGATCATCCAACTCCGACAGGTCCAGTAGCACCATGGCCAACCGAAACTATGTGGCCAATAATTACACAACTGTGCAAGATTTAATAGATAAAATTAAGTTAGAAATTAACCCCTACTTGAAAAAAAGAGGAATAAACGTAAAGCAAAAATTTAGATTGCTGTTTACCTTTGGCCCAAAAATTAAGTACCTGAGCCATAATGAACAGCTCATACAAATGGATTTCGTCAACACGAACCACATCAAAAATGTGTATGTAACTCCGCTGAGGATGGAGCCTGATTTTACGGACGAACAGAAGCATTTGATAGAAACGGACCAGCTCAAGGTGAGCTTCCTGCAACTCTATGTGCGCATAAGTGGACAGTTATTGCTGCTTACAATTTAACCACTTCTTTTTACGGTTTTATTTTTGCGCGAGCTAAAATGAGGGGAAACACCAAAAGGAGAAAAATATATCATCTCCATGTGTACTCCCAACTTATACGTCCATTTAAGCCTCCGTAAAATTTCTCCTGTTTTTTTTTTTTGTCACCTTCCCCTTTTTAGATAATTCACGTTTTCAACCAGACACCTTCGAAGGAAGTTTTCGGATACAGTTTTGACGTCCTCGTGGATGTAAGGAACTGCCTCACGAGCGCATACAAACACATAAATATAATTATGCATTTGCGTGCCAGTCCCTCCTGCATGTATTCACCCCCCCCTGCCTTTTAAAAATTCCTCCCCCCGCAGCCGAATGACAATATGCTCGACATCAAAAACAGGATAAGGAAAAGGACCCTCCTGCCCAAGTACATATTCGACAAAATCACCTTCTTCGAGTTTGAGAATGGGCAGAGAATTTGGAGGTCCAATGACGACACCATCAATTGGAAGAACAAGCAGTTCGCCATCATTATAGGTAAGTATTTTTTTTTTTGTATTACCCCCCCTACTCCCTTTGTGCTGTGCATACATATATGTATGTATATATGCGTAGACGTGTGTCTTTGCAGGGGAGGTGTAGACACCCTTCTGCGATTCCTTTTTACATGCGTGTTGCCACTTTTGCCTGCCACCCCGCAGGAGAACACCATGCCCCTTCCCAATCGAAGCCCCAAATGGGAATGAAAATAGCATAAGCCTCATGGACGGCCCCCCCCCCTTTCTTCCAACATTCGCACACGAAATATTGCCCCTAATTTTTAATCTTTGGCTGCCAAAATGGAGATTTCATTGATTGATATCATTCTCATTTTTATTATTATTAATTTTAATTTTCGTTTTCGTTTTAATTGTAGTTTTCATTTTCATTTTCATTTTCGTTTTAATTAATCTTTCCCCCTTTTCATCGCTTTACTGTTGTTTCATCCACGGTTTCCAGCTGCTGTGGGGTTAGTGCTACCATACCGCGAACGTTGTGCATGTGGTGTGGGGATGATGCGATTACATACATCCTAGTACGCCCCTCACAACACTGCATGCATGTTTGAAAAAATGTGCAGGCATATCATAGTGCTATGTTTGCCTCCCCTGCCTCTTCCCACTGTTCACTTTTCTCTTACAAGAATTGTAAAATTAATTCATTCACAGAATTAAAGAAAAAGAGTTTCCATTATTAATTATACTTTGATCACCCTCCCTTATATGCATATGTTTGTATTCGGATGTATGCATGTATCCCTACACACTTGTGCGCAGTGCGCTTGCCTCCCATTCGTGTATAGAAAAATTAAAGCCTTTTTAATTTTCATTTTTTTTTTTTTTTTACTGTAAACCTTTTCATTCCACCCTGCCTCACCAGCATACTATGCGTATATTTTATCATTTAATTTTTCCCTCCCCCCCCTCATTCGTCATTTTTGTTTTCTTACCTTTGTTTTTTCTTCCAACTTTTGAGCGCCAAAATGTAAATAAGTCTACTTACACGTTAGTGACTGAAAATGGAAAGCGTAGCGTCGTGCGAAGGGCAAAAGGGTTTTTAGTTGACCTGCCGGGGAAGCACAATGTGGTTATTCTCTTTGGGGAAGCATGCCCGTCCAAGTTTTTCTCCTATTTGCGCGGTCTTGTGGCGGACCATTTGTACTCATGTGCGAGAGTGTTTCTTCCCTCTGTAAACCCTATCAACAAATGCTGTCCACACGGTTGAATATACAAGCCCTTAAATGGACGCATTGCCGGGAACAAATTTATGCTCAGGTTTCCCCTCCTCTGTGCCGTGGCAAATGTTGGTCAATTCGTGAGGAGCCCCTTCTGTAAATGGCTTGCAAATGGGTTGGAAATCGGTCGTAAATGGGGCAAGGACGGCAATGCGGGAGAAAAATAAATCTTTTCAAAATTCACCGCTGTGATAGCCAAAACAAATGTGTAGAAATGGGAAAATAAAAAAAAAAAAAAAAAAAAACAATCCTCTGCAAAAGCTGCGGTATTCCATTAAAAACCCTATTTACTCTGTTGCCCCACTGGCTTAAAAAACCAAAACGGCAAACACTAAACGCGCGCACAACGCTTTTTTCATGTTAAGTCGGTTCTCATTTTGCGCAGGCACAAGTTATTTGTCGACAAAATAAAAATATGAACGTGCAGGTTTTTTTTTTTTTTTTTTTTTTTTTTTTTTTCCGTTTCCACTTTCATTCCATTTGTTAAAGGGGCCTCGTTTTATGCTTGTTTCACGCTGCTCCTTTTTTTTTTTTTTTTATGTTTACTTTGGTTGGCATGGTATTCTTTTTTTTTTTTTTTTGTTTCCTCCTTTATGTGAGCACTTTGTAACACTTCTGTTCCGAAGGTGTTAACTCGTGCATGGTACCTGCCCACGTATAGTACTTGCATGTGCCGTTACCTTCTCTCCAGCGCGAGCTAAGTTAAGGCTGTTGCCCTCAGCATACATGAATGTTCATCAACGTTGAGGGTGGATGTATTTAGATGTAAGCATTTATGTATGCATATATTATTCATGTGTATTCATGCATGTACAATAAGAGAACCCACTGGGAGACCCCTTCTCCCCAGTGTGTTCTGTAGCAAACGGCGCTGCGCGAAAAACTCAAACATATTTGTAAACAGTATGATTAAGTGAAATAACGCTAGTGAGATTATTCCACTGTCGAGCACTGTTCCAAGAAGCTTGACTGGAGAGGAATGAAAATCCTTCTGCTTTCCTACCATACTGCAAAATGATCAAAATTGACAGAGTACTTGAGATCAACGTGCGGGATTTCGCACACGACTTGAACGTTTTTTATAAGAAAAGTAAAGCCATTAGGAACATAGGACGAACGGAAAACGCTCGCAACAAACGTTTCTCCGACAGAAGAACGGTGTCCAAGTATGGAGACACAGTTACCATTTCTTTGGAACAGCACATATTCATTTGTGTGCGGCGAAGCAACACCTGGAGGGTGTTCCGGCACGACAGTAATGAGATAGCGAGAGCTGTGTGGGGGGGTGTCCATTAGAGGGGAGCCACAATTGAGACGCTTCTTCATTGCCCACTTGGAATAATTCAAGCGCAGAATGAAAAAAAGGCAAATAAAAATAGACCCACCCCAGCAAAACGCAGTTATGATCACCTTTGACGTACATTCTCCGTAAATTACTTACCCAGGTGCATTCATTATGGTAACTTATTTTCCTCCCACACCCCGAACGCAGGCTCCCACAAAATTGACAAATGCGTGTGCATTGGTGACTCGGACGTGCTCGTATTGCAGACGAACAACAACGTTTCCGTACAGGCGTTCGAACGCATTGACAAAAACAAACAGTTAAACGAAATAAGATTGTTGAGGAAACAGGACCTTTCATCAAATGCCCTTTTCTTCTGCGTACATCAGGGTTCCATTTACATTGTCGATCGAAATGGGACACTATGGGTAAGGCGTCCTAAAAAAGGGGGGACTCCCTCGGGAAAAAGTATAGCGCTGGGACATTACGGCTCCGTATATGGGGGAGGGTGACCCAGCAGCATAGCATTTGCTCTTGGATTGGTCGGTTAAGCATAGGTGCATCCCTCTTCGCGTCATGTTATGTCATTTCATTATTTATTTTATTATTTTATTTTTTTTTTTTGTTCCAGCAAACGCATGTCGAAGACTGCCTGGACGCCGGCATTTCCCCAAAGCAGATCAAACGTTTTCCCTTCCGAAAAGGAAACCAAGTATATTATTTTAAGGTAAAAAATGGGGACACCCTAATTATTGCCTACTGTGATGACGAATGGGGGAAGAAAGTCCAAACCATTATGTACAACTTTACGAGTAATGAGTTGGAGCAAATTCATTTGAGTGTCTCCCCTGGTGTCAACCTTGAGGAGAAAGCAAAATATATTAACTGCCTCGATTTTAACGACAAATACATTGTAGTGCTGTTTAGCACAAATGAACTGGCCATTTACCAAAAGGAGGAAAATACGAATAAGTATAAATGTTTTAAATACTTGGACAAAAATAAAGCAAGCGTTATGAAATATTTTAAAAATAAGAGTTTGCACGAAGTGGAGGAATGTACATCGGGTCACGCATCAGGTCACGCATTATGTCACGCATTAGGTCACGCATCAGATGGCGCGTCTAACAGCGCAGACAAGGTGAACAGAATTTCCTCCCTTCAAATGTGTGAGGACAACACCCTGCTGCTAACATACAGTGAGCGCTTCCTCCCCGACGACGAGGAAAATGGAAGCAATCACAGGTACACCTCCCTCGTGAAAAGAGCCACAAACATGTTAAATCTCTACCTCAATGAGATAGAAAAAATTTTCTTCATTCGTTTTCTTTATCAAGACAAGCTCAGTAATAACTCCCTCCTGTACGACATCAATGAGCAGTTAATTAAAAGTCACAACATGCACATGTGCTCCCTGAGCCTACGCGGTGTTCGTATGAACACAGACAGCATCAATTTGGACGATGAAATTTACACCCTGTATGGAGAGGCAATTCAAATTTTGAACAATAGATTGTCCAGGATAGGAAGCTTGGAAAAGGAGGAAAACTCGGAGGACTCTCCCAACTCTGCAGACGCAGAACGAAGGAGGGAAGAACTTTTAAACTTAAGAGCATATCTAGACATACACGACATAAGTCAAAATAAAAGAAAAATATTTATGAACAGATTAAGTGAGGACCTCTCTGAAAAGGGCTTCCTTAACATGGACTTTTTAAAAGACATAACAAAAAATAAAAGTAGATCCGATGATGTACAGCCGTGTAGCAACTTATACCTGTGCAGTGTCGACGACTACTATGTGATGCTGGAAAATGCAGAAGACGATTTTAATTTAATTTTGTATAGAATAAAATTTCTGAACATGTCTGAATTTTTAATTCATTTATTTTTTTATAACTACCACGATGGTGTGTTGGCAGCTGAGCAGAATGGAATGGGGTCTTTGCATCAACTCTTCGTTTACTCCGTCTATGACTACGGGGGGAGATACATAGAGGCCCCCCTGAGCGATTTCCAGGTGCGTACTACCTTCATCCCAATCTGGGCGATGTAATATCTCTCGCGGAGATCAACCTACAGGGGCTAACTCCATTGCACATGTGAATGCTTCTACATATTCTGATTCCCTGTTCAACGTGTACACTGCACATGTATATATAATAACCTAATATTTCTATAATCATTTTTTCATCTTGCATCATCGTGGAAGCCGCGCTATCCCAAAGATGTTACCCCTTCACACACGTATGTATTCACACCCATGCGAATGTTTTTTTTTTTTTTTTTTTTTTTTTTTCCGTCCCCCTTACAGTGCCTCTTCAAAATTCAAAATCTATTTGACTTCCTGGAGAGAGCCGTGACGTACGACCCATTTCTCTTCAGAGAGGAAGACGACACAAACATAATCGAATTGCTCAATTTGAAGAACAACGGAATTGGCCAGTACAGATATGTGCCCACCAATCTTAATAAAAACGAGGAAAATAATAATTACCATAACATGTTTTATCTTCTGAACGAGTCAGGCGATAATGAGGTCACGTCAAAATACGTTAACAAATATTACAAGGTTAAAAGGGTAAGGACTGAAAACTTTATGCAGCATGTCGACATAAATGTACAGATGCTCAGGTTGAAAACGGTTTTGTGCGTTTCCCTGCGAGTTGTGTTATACGTGTTGGGTGATACTCAGTCGGCTAGCGATGTGGTGCTGACCTCGGACGAGAGCAACGATGGGCGAGACGCGGACGATGCGTTCGACACCCAAGATGGGTGCGACATTGGTGAAGGTGAACACACCGATGAAGAGAGTCACTTCTTAACCAGGTTGATACAAAATAAGGTAAAGAAGCGCCGAAGAAAGAGATCAAAGTTTACCCGCAAAGGCGGACAAGGTAAAATACATATGGGTGATCACACATCAGAACATCCAAAAGAGAGACAATCTAAGGAGGAAAGTGACATGGACAATGAAAACAGCGGTAATGGCCATAGTGAGGAAGAACAAAACCGAATAAGCGAGATATGGGGACTTTCGATCGACCAGGCAGAGCTAAGCGGAGATGAAAGCAGCAGCAACGTGGATGACAATGTTGGAAGGGGGAAAGGAAGCAGCTCTTCGTCTAACGCACTGGACAGACATAATGATGAAGTGAATAGGAGAGTTCCCCACAACATATTTCTCCACGACGTAGATTACAACTCGTTCGGTGAAAGCCTCGAGTCTGTAAAGAAAAATAAAATTGTAAAAACGAAATTGAAGCTATACAAAAAGGAAATACTGCGGCAGATTTATAAGTATAAAATGTACAACTACCTCATGAAGCTTCTGGATCGAGAAAGACGAAGAGGAGGGTACCACGCTGGTTGTGACACATCAGGGGAAAAAGACGGAACCCCCAATTTAAACTACGACAAGCACAAAGGGTATAGTAATAAAAATAAAATGTCCGACATTTTCAACATCTTTAAGAAAAACATAAATGATTCTACAAACGTGGGAGAAAGGGACAACATGAATGGAACCGCTAGCAGTGAAGGGTTCACTCAAAGCAACGCACAGGAAAAAGGGTCCAACATCTACATCATCAGCTGGACAAAATTTAAGTACTACTATACTCCATTTGATATTGTAAAATATTTTGTTATTAACCAAAATTATGTCTTAGTTAAAATTTTTTATAAATATTTTCGTTTTTTTGTTAATCACAATTGGCAAAGGATATTTTATTACATTCCTGTGAACACCAAAGTTGAAGATTTTTTCTTTCTTCTCCCGGGGGTTAAAGAAGCACAGGTTAATAAGCACCCTGGACGGGGTGCCTTACCAGGAAAAACTTCCTACTATGGATATACACATAATAGAGAATCTAACCCCATTGACGATGCAGCTGTTGATGGGGACACCATCTGTCGTTCTTCCCACTTTGCTAAAAAGGATGAAACAGATGAGGAAGAAGAATATGCAAAATGGACTCGAGAAAATCAGCCCCACAAAGGATTCTCTAATCATTACGAAATACATTCTGATGGTGATGCCTTTCTCGAGTTCTTCTTCAGCAGATGTATTTTCATCATGAAGAGAACCAGGTTGGTTAAGAGTCGCCTCCTGGCATTCGTTTATGTTTGTCTGCAACAAATAAATGGTAATAACATTTATGATCTGTTTAAGTACGATCCCGCTTTGAAGAGACTTACTTTTGATGAATCGTATTTTTGTGAATCATTCCATGTGGGTACAGTCTTAAACGTGGAAAAAGAAAATCCTAGCGCCGTCACACCAGATGGGAATACGAACAGTATAGGAGCTCCACGAAGAGAACAACTCGGTTTGCACAGCGAAAGTATGGTGAAGGACCCCAATTTTGGTGACCCACTTTGGATAAAGAAAAATTTACAAATACAGATTAAAAAAGAAAACATCCCAAACAAAAACGTACTCCTTATATACAGCTTCTTCACCCTCATTAAGCTATATGTGATCTGCAAAGAGAATCATAAAAATGTAAAATTGGAAAATTTTGTACTCATGGATTTGTACACACGCTTGTGTTTGGTTCTGGAGTTTGACATAAAGTACATGTCTTTGGAATTAGACCAGGATGGCTACATAAAAGTATTTTATGAACATTTAGAAGAATTTTTGAGCAACTACCATGTGATTGATGAGCACATTGCGTGTACAGGAACAACCAAGTGCAAACTTTTCACAAAAGAGATTGTCAATTTGGTATACGAGAAACCGAAAAACCTTTTGGAAAGCGTCTACTTCAATTTGCTTTACTCCTCTCAACAAATTTTTGTGTTATTCTGTTTCAAGACATTAAGATTGTTACAAGGGAGGAACTGTCACAACGGTCATGAGGGAGAGGGGAAGGGAAGGAAAGATAATAATTCAACCTGGTCCAGCCACCTACCTCTGAGTGAAAATTTTCGTCAAGGACAGAATGCAATCCGTGCAAATGCACAACACATGGTGGTAGGGCGATATACCCAATCGAAGCGCAAAACTGAAATTGACAAAATTTTTGTTTTCTTAAAATATATTTACTACGCGTACAAGCATAGAGCTATCTTGAGGAATGATTACGAGTTTGCATTTTTATTTCTGGTGATGTTCTACAAATACATGCACATTAACCTGTTGCACTTTATTTCAATTTTGAGCGATTTTTACAACCTGTTGCCGAGACAAATAGGGGACGGCCCCGATGAGGGTGTGGAGTCACCAGAAGGAGGGATCGCCCCACATGGAGGGGAGCCTTTCGATCTTGGCGAGCTCTTCCACAACGAAGAGTACACCAGTAAAGCAGTCATTTATGACGAACATTTGAGCCGCATTGTCGGGGGGGACTGTGAAGACGCAGATAAGGCAAGTCCATCTTGGGAGGAGAGCCCATCTGTCCAGTCTGCCCCTCTGGTGGAGAAACTCCTGGACCTGTTCGAAAAGGACCTGAACGCCCTGGAGCTGATCAAATATTTGAAGAAAGACTTCGCGCAACACGCGGAAGATGAAATCAAGGTAGATATCAACATGATTGTGAGTTCGCGAAATAGTAAAACGAAGACGGTACTGAATATTTTTACACTGTTTAAGAAAATAATGACCTTCACACAATACAAAGATAAAAATTTTACGAAAAACTGCTTCCAACTCTATCACAATTTATTTTATTTGGTAGATGTGCACACTTTCTTTCACATCCTCTTCTACATCATCCTCTTTCACTCCAACGACTTTGAATATTTAACCAACCTTTTGAAGTTTTTCCGGAAGTACTACGACCAAGAGGGTGGGGACAGGCCGCTGCATGGGGAGAGGCCACTTCATAGGGAGAAACCACTTCCTAGGGAGAAATCGGATGACCTCATAAATTATCTCCTGCTTCGTAGAGCAAAAGTAGTAACCATTAACGAAAATTTTGACCACCTGTACAAATTTGTGCAACATATATACTGTAAGAGAACGGTAGGGTTCCTGTCCCACTTGGCTGACCAGAATGAACAGCTCTTGCAAAACTTGAAAATGTTAAAGTACATGCAGATGCTTGCAAATCGAAAAGGAGAAAGCGAAAAAGAAAATGGGACCTCCTCCATGAGTCACTACGTGTCCAGACAACAAATAAACAAAAAAGCATCAAACGAAGACCTATACAAATCCTTTTCAAAGTTAATTTCTCAGTCGTATGAAAGGATTGCCCCGAATGATGTAAACCTTGAAGAGGGGGCAAAGAACAAAACGAGAAATGTTTACAAACCCCCTGTTTACAAGAACATTCTGTACGACTCTTATGTTAAGATAGCCATTGAAAAAAATAAATTTCATATCTTCAAAAACGTAATGCAGAATGATCTCACAATTTGTTATAACAGAAGGAGAACCATCAAGTTGATTAAACTTCTTCAATTAGAAAAGGATCATCTTAGGGATTCTCTCCTGTTCGTTATTTGCACCCTACAACTACATGAAAAGGTGAAGATTCTTCCCTTTTACCTGATTCTTTTTCTCATTTTATTTCAAAATGATGAATTGCACAAGGACCAAAAGAGGGCTCTACACAATGCCATTATGTATTACGTGGAATGTTCTAACCGATCTCCTAGCTACGTGTACAATTTTGCCATGTCACTTATTGCTTACTTTTCGCTGAACCATCCGGAGTGTATTCCTCATCTATACAAATCCATTTTCGCCAAAAGGGCGTACTTCAAACCTGCGTGGAGAGCCCAGAAGGGACAGAGACGAGACGAGAACAATATACATGATAGCTTCCTTTCCATGTATGACTTTTTACAAGATAGTAATATTAAGTTAATCAGAACGAGTGATGGGGATCCCAGCTGTCAAGGGGGGAAAGCAGACCATAATAATTACCACCCCGATTTTGTACAAGAGGGAAGCGGAAACGGCATGGAGTTCCTTCCACAGATGGGATCCATCAGAGGTGATCAGACAAGAGGAAACATAAACGAACCCACAAATGAGCATCCCCAATTCGGACCAGCGCGAGACGATGACACGCGGGAGATGAACCCCATCGCTAGGGTGTTCTGTAAACTCACGGATGCAACGGACGCTTCGAGGGGGGAATCTCTGCACATCGCTACCGAGGAGCCCATGGATTCATACGAGCACACCTTTGATGGGGAAGATCATCTGGGCGAAGTAGAGCACCAAGTTGAAATTGAAATGTTCCAGGGGGAGAAGAACCCCCTTGAGAATGTAATCGATGAGTGCGATGACGCATGGGAACAGAGCCCTGAAGAAAACGGCCCACTTAGGGGGGAAGTCGATCAAAGCGACAACGAGTTGGACCAACTCGAGGATATTTGCACGGGTACAGATTTTGAGGAAATGGGAGCATCGTCTGATGAATCGGCCAGCGACAGGGGCGTCGCTGAAGGGGGCGAAGCGGACGACACGGATGGACATAATGACGACCGCGAGAGCAGACACCTCGTGACGCACACAGACCATCTAGAACAGGTGGAAACCACAAAATGGGGCAGCAGCGAGGAGGGCGAAGAAATGCCCCATGTGGTCGGACGGAGAAGCTCATGGGGAAAGGAGGAAGAAGACTTGTCCCCTAATCATATCGAGAAGCACACCCAACAGAAAGGAAAAACAAAAACACTCAGTAGGAATGCCCTTACGTATCTAATGAAACAGGCTCGCACCAGGATTAACAAGCACAACGTGACGAATTGGGACGTTGGTTATATCACCAAAACGGTGCATGTGGTGAAGAAGGTTTTAAAGAGGAACGAAAATAAACTGAAGGGAATGGATAGCACTTTACATGTGCACCATTTCAACAAGAGAATAGAGCAACATGAGCAGAAAAAAAACATTCGCCAAAAAAGCAACATATATAAAACCCTCCTCAGCAGTGACCTCTACTTTGCATTTCTGTATTTTCTACAAGTGGAAGATTACCCATTTATCTACACCTTGGTCAAGAAAATCATTTTGAATAATTCAATTGTGATAAACAAAAAAATGGTTATTATTGAAAAGCTACTGTTAAGTATGTATTCCTTTCATGCAAATATGGGAGAAGGAAAAGAGGAGGGACTCCATCCCGAAGACTCAAAAGGCATGTCCCCATTTTTAAAAAAAATTTTCAACATGCTGGTTATTACGAAGTATTTGCTCCTCGAGCTAAATGCTAACAATTTAAGCAAAATTGATTTACAAAAAATTTTTGTCGAGGATAGCTATAAAAAACTGCTAGTGGAAAAATTCGAAAAAGAAACGTGTGAAAAATTTTTACAAATTTTGATTAAAATAGGAGACATTTCCCGGATGGCTCTTCTAGATATGAATCTCCATATTAAAAAAAAAAGACACACTGTTGTGTATGACTTACGATGGCGAGATGGACCCAAGGAAATAGGTAGCATGGTGCAAAATCGCCTCAGTGAGAAAAACACCATTGCAGAAAACCCCAAGGACCATAAGAGCTTTCAGTTTTTATTCGAAATTGAGGTGGAAAAACAAATGATTAATCACTTCCAGGGGAATGAAAAGAATGCTCTACTGATGTATATCACCACCCATTTGAACTACCTCAATTTTAATCTCCATTTTGTAAGAAAGATTGTCTTCTATATGTACGAGACGTGTCTGTATTTCCTTTGTCCGGCTATATACTTTTTGAGGATTTCCTTTTATGACTTCAGCATGGGGAATCTGTTTACTTCCTTGTCGCGGGTCGTGAAGAGGTTATCTCGCACGGAGGTAGTAACGAAATTGCTCGAGCTCCGTTATGTGTGGATTTGTCTGGCAGGAGAAGCCACACAAGATGTGAAGGGAGGACACCTTCCACAGAGCGTCGAAGAAGGGGAACCAACAGAGAATATCTCCAAAAGCAACACAGCAAAAATATTGTACACTTCGAACATTTTAAACCCTTTCAATTTTTACCTCAAGCAAGCACAAACGGATAACCCCGCATTTGACCAACTCATTTGTGACCATGTGAAGGATGCACAAAAAGAAGTTCAAACATATAAGTTAGGAAAGGAGGCAGCGTATCATTTGGTGACCTATCTGTGGAGTAAACATGACATACTGCCTCAACTCCACGATTTGTGTTTTCTTCTGAAAGGGCTCAATGTGCAGTTGGATCCATTTTACTATACTACTGAAGACAATCACCAAGCGATACAGGAACTCTTCGACCCTAGTGAGGACGACTATATTAAGCACTCCCTTCTTTTCACCCAACTCAATAAAGATTGTATTGACTCATTTGAAATTAAAAATGTGAAAAACAATTTGTCCCATTTCTTCTATGCCAATGAGAAGTACCACAAGTGCTTTATCGATTTTTACCTCTACCGCAGTGCACTAAAATTAGGCAACCTAAAAAAGGTGTCGACACTTTTATTTACGCACCTTCTGAAACGCCCTCTAAAACACTTTTGCAGAAACATTGAATTCAACTTCACCAAATGGATGCTCCTACACAAAAGGCGAATGGAGAAATTTTTACACTTTTACAATATGATGGACAGACTTGGCATGGACCACCCTGGGGTCTTGGTCAAATTAGTTACCGATAATTTATATAGAGTGGACTACCTTTTGTTTCTTCACCTGATGCACAGCGATGGGGAAGGCGACCCTCTCCCAACTAAACGCATAGTCCTCAAACTGCTCATGGTACTCTTCTTCATATCGTGCACACATGAAGATGCAAACTTTTCAGTGAATGATTTTTTCCATTTTTGCGCGGCGGACACACAGGCGGGAGGAAGAGACTTACCCACATTGGAACACCACTCCCCAGGGGATATAATCCTCGAGGGTGAATTCTGTAAGGATGATGATGGGGCGAGCGCAGTCGGCGAAGTTAACGAAGTGGAAGACCCCAAATTGCTCACAATGCACGGCGACAATTCCGTGGAGACCGACGAAGAGCAGTACATTGACAAACGCATGGAGGTAGATGATGATGGGGACGACCACTTTTCCTACAGTGAGAACGCCGAGATGGATGGTGCTGAGAAAAACTTCAACGATAATTCCTCCCTTGTAAGTATGCCCGTTCTAAGTATGAACGACGAAGGCGCATCTGCGGGTGAGCACTACGCATACACGGACCAAGAAAAGAGCCTCATTGCAGACATAAACAATTTTTTCAAAAAGGATGGCGGACTTGGGGACGCGGATGACGGACTTGGTGGCGCGGATGATGGACTTGGTGGCGCGGATGAAGGAGAGGTACCATGCGGAGGAGGCAAACCCGGGGGAATCCAAGTCGACCTGGACGAGAGAAGAATTGGCCAAATTGAAAACAGATGCAACGGCGAGCGGGACGCACAGGCCGGACAGACTCAACCGATTGAATCGACCGAACAACACGAAGTGCTCAACGCCGTGACCTCTTTCTGCCGTCAACGCATAACCCTCCAGGAGGTAATAAAAACGGTTATAAAGAACGAACTAAAGGCAATTTTGTTCCTTCGATTTTCAAACACAGTAACTGTATATAGCTTGTATGATAAGGCAAAGCGGGTTGATCACTTTTTGCGTAGCTTGGGCGGACGCAACGTCTTTTTCACCCTCGAGATGATGGCCATACTATTGTTCAGAAATAAAAGAAGGAAGTCGAGGAACAGGTTCATTTTTCACTTTTTTGCGCTTCTGTACGTTTTGCACTTCGTCAGGGAGGGGGACAGTGGCGAGTTTATTGAGCAGCCGATTGAGCAGCAGAGTGCACAGAAGTGTGATGAGCCACCGCGTAGGCAGGATAACCATTTGCACCAGAACGAGAAAGAGAGCCTCGTCAAAAGCTTGACGGTACTCCTCTTCATAAACCTAACTAATATATTTCTACCAACCGTTAACAAGCTGTACGTATTGGACGAGAAACAACACTTCCTGTTTGACCAAGAGAGGAAGCAAATAAAGACCACACACGATGTGGAGTCCTTTGTTCATATAATTTTGAACGTAATCGACGAGACGTATGTTAAGGGTTATGAATTTGTTTACCTAAGTCTCCTCCTGTTGATGGAGTATGTAGTAGAGCTCTTATGTGACGACAGCGACGTGGTGGTCCCCCCCACCATGGCACACATCTTCAAATGTAAGAAAGTGCAAATTTTGCTAGACGATTATACAAAAAGGTACCAATCTGCAGGAGAGGGAAAAACGGACCAGGGGGACAACAACAAAACTAAAAGGAATACCCTCACTTCTTTCCTAAACCAGCAAGCATATGACAAAATTAGAAACATGATGAGTCGTATCTACTTGAAAATCCTGTCCAACTGTGACAAGTCCATTGTGCTGGTCTGCAAAATCATAATTGGGAACAGAATCAACTTGGAAGATGAAATGGAATTATTTAAAAAAGTCAAGAGTAATATACTGCTATTTTTTACTACAAATTATGGCCAAATAAAATCGAATAAACAGAAGATACTCCTACAGAACAATCAGAACAACAAGGTGAAGGGAGACAAGAGTGACAAATATGACCTGTTTCAAACAAAAATTTCTTCCTTCATTAAAGTCCTCTTGGTTATAATGCATTACAATATTAATTCGTTTAAAGGCTGGGACTATTACGAAACTATTAAGCAGATAATCACCGATGCAGAATGGTTCCGCATCTTTGACGCCAAGTACGCAAGGGAGTCATTTGAAATGAACTTTCTGTGTAAGAGGTATACGAGGAGGAAGGGGGGCGTGGGGCATTTCTACAACGCGCAAGGAGGTTCATTACTTAGTGTTGGGTTCGCTACACATATGGAGGACACACCAAACGTGGGAAATAATACCAACGAGGGTGTTTGTGATAGTAGTGCTGCTCCACATGATCCAGGTCGCCACCGCCACGCAACGCACTCGATAGAAGAGCAGGATGTGGAAGAAGCCCATGTTGAAGATACACATGGATGGGACTCCTCCGATGGCAGCCTTGCTGAAATGAACAAAACGATGCTCTTCTATTTACAAAACTGCACAGAGGAGGAGGAAGAAAATGCTACGCAGAAGGAAGTCGACTCGGGGGATACAACAGGTTTACTAAGTTCGAATGAGGTGGTGCAGGGGAATTTCCCGTGGAGCAGTGATGCCCTGGATGGTAACAATGGCCATCACGTAGGGGAACAATTCGAGGTGGCAGAAGAGAAGAATAAAAGCGCTAACATATTGCAGAGTAAGGATGTAGTGTCAGGAGTTGCCCAGACAGCAATGAAGGAGCTATCACCCGAGGAGGATAATGTAGTACTGAACGGTGGAGTAAGCCCCCATGAGGAAGACTTGCAGGAGGAAGATCCATTCCAGTTCAATACCTCCAAGGTGCGCGAAAGCATTATGAATGACTATGGGAAGGGCTTCCTCTCCAAGTACATAAACAAGCTTATCACGAAGGAAGAGTGTGAAGAGAGATTGAAACAGGTGGGCAGGAAGTCAAAAATGATGAACCTAGTAAAATATGCAGCATACATTTTACGCTACTGGAACATCGAAATAGAAGAATTGCAAAAAGGGGAAAGAGAAGAAGGGTTTCAAATTTTAATTTTTTTTGCAAACCATTTTCATTTCTTCGAAAATTTAATCAAGTATAAAATTATTTTAAAATTATACATGCGAAATAAGCTGAACCTAGCAGACGAACTCCTGGGGCAGAAGAGTAGGATGTGGTCTTGGTACAGAAATGACGCCAAAATAAAAAATTGTATTGAGGAATACCTCATGAAGGATATATGCTACACTAATTTCTTCAGCGGGAAGGAAAATAATGAGACCTTTCTTTACTCATTTAACCAAGTGTTAAAAAGGGGCCAAGGGACTAGTGGTCCTATTTCACATCAACAAGGGGACCCCACCAACTGCTTCTACCTAAGAAACTACCACAACAATAAATTTAATGGGACATTTTTGAAAAGCATATATATGCAGCATTATGCCTTCAGGAAGTACAACAAAAATGCAGGTGGAAAACACTTGGGGGTATATCTCCCCAGGGAAACCCAGTTCGACACGGGAACTACCCACCCAGGGAAGCACACAAGTGAGGAGCAGGGTCATTCCCCCCAACAGGACTTCTCAACCCAACAGAGCACCAACCACTTTCCCCTCTTCTACCTATCCTTCATGGACCTATACGCACGCACCGCAGACGTGTACGACTTCTACTTCCAAGCAGTCATTTTCAAGTTAATGAAAGAGGAGGAGCTACACCTCAGCAAAGCGAAACAGTATCAGGAAGATTTACAAACATACCTCCAAAACATGTTAAATCAGTACGACTTATATTTGATGCTTCTAAACTACCAGTTGCTTACCTTCCAGTCTGTTTGCTCTAATAGCAACACGTGCACGAATTTTCTCAACCGGCGTGAACAAAAGTTGGTGCACTACCTCTGGGTCAGACTCACCCAGGATCTAATGAAGAAGTACCGGTAAGGGTGTCAATTCGGTGATGGTGCACTTTTGTGCGGGAGCTCACAGAAAAGTAGCCACTACAAAAGATTGGCGGCATGACAACCGCAACATATACATGTCTTCCCCGTCACATTTTTTTGTATTTCCCCAATTTGCCCCCTAATTTTTAGGTCCAACATCAACCCAGCCAATGCATTCCTCTGAGTGGCGCACATGGAGTGACAAAAAAAAAAAATAATAAAATAGAATTTCACAAACAACAGCGGGAATCACCCAACATTTTGCATATAACGTCAAGCAAATCGTTTTTACGCAAAGGGTGCAAACGCACAATTAAAAAAGTTTTGAAGAAAAAAAAAATAAATAATTTTTTAAAAAAAGGTTTACAAAAAAGTGCACTCCACCCGCCAACCACGTCAACGTTGTGAACGCCGACACCGCCGCTAACCACGTCACTGAAACTTGAGGAGCGGGCCCAGCAGCGGCTTGGTAGACATAATCAAAAAGAAGGCGTGGTTGTGGAAGAGGTACTTGTACGCATCGTAATTCTTTGTAACAACCAGATTTGTAATTTCGTCGTACAGCTTTACGTAGTAATTTTCGAAGCAACTTTTTATGTCCATGTCGTTTATGATGTATTTGATGGTCGGCCTGCCGTGGGGGCAATTCCACGGGTTCTTCAACACACTAAGTTTTTTTTTAATTTTGATCATTTCGGCCACATTCAGGGTTTTCCCTACCATAATAGCGTTTCTGCAGGCCCTATGTGGGGGGGACAGGGGAGGGGGCAGCACAGGTGAGGTGAGGTGTATGTGTAATATATTGTTACAGGTGCTGCCACATGTGTCACACGCACGACACGCATGGGGGTGCACCGCTTACTTCGAGGCCAGGATCCGCCACACCTTCTGGGGGCGAGGGAAGTTGTAGTTAAACCAGGTGTCCGTCTGCTTATTAGGTTGGTTCTTGTTCCGTACGAACATTTGGAAATTGGCCTTGTCGTAGGTTATCGGGTGCTCTGTCAAGTGGTGCAAAAGAGACATAAAATCTTCGACCTCGAGGATTTTCCCGTTGAACACGGGGAGAGACAGCAAGTAGACCTTCACCTCCATCAGGGCACCTTCCTCCGCATCGTTCTGATCCATTGCATCCGTCGCGTTAATCGAGTCCGCCGCACCCGCCGCGCCCGTCGAATGCCCCTCTTCCAGCCGTCTCCTCTTCTGAGCGGGCTCCTCCACAATTTCCAAGTCAAACCCATTGTGCAAAAATATCTCCAAGTTCTTTTCAATGATATAAATTTGCGCAGGACTCAACTCCAAACCGATTTTGCTAATCAGCCTCTGAGACTTCATGGTGAATATTTTATTATATTTTTCGAAATTAGATTTTTCGTCTGCAGCATGTTGGTCTATAATGAACAGGGCGTAGCTGCTGTTGTTCCCTTGGGGTTCGGCTTCATCCCCACCTCCAGACCCTACAGGGCCTACTACATTTCCTCCACGAGCCTGTTGAAAGTACAATAAATCAATTTTCGAAATGACAAACCCTTTATTGAATTGTCCGCAAATTCTGAGTTTCTCAAATAAGTTGGACTTAAAATATAAATCCTTTTGCCTTTCATCAATGTTGCTGAAGCTGATGTCTTCTGCAGAGGCGCTTCTCCCCTGACTTTCCATCTCGGCTGCCTCTTTAATGTTCAAGCTGCCATTAAATAAATCTGCGTACTCATTGATATTCTTCTTATCAGTTAGACACAGGTAGTTGTTCGCCTTCTCTTGTTCTTTCCCCTGTGGAAAAATTATGTTTTTAATTTTTTCATTATTTGTTAAATTCACGACATGGATCTGATCATAATCGAACCCGCTCTTCATTTGTTCCCTGTTGATATACATGTTGATGTCTATGGGGATACTTTTGATGCAGCTACTTTTTATATTTTCTTTTAATTCTTCGAAGGTGTATTCGGGGGGGTCGGGTGAATCTCCAATGGGCTTGTGGCTTCCTCCTTCATGTTGGCTTTGTGCCTTGAGTTCTCCCTCACCGCGTTCGTCGTTACCCCTGTTGATTACGTCGTAGTGGGGGCTATTGCCCTTCTCCTGCACTTTACTCTCATGCGACTCAGCCTTAGGTGGGTCCTGCAGCTGGTACTCTTGAACGCATAACTTGGGTGAATGTTTCAGCTGGTACTCTTGCACGAATAACTTGGGAGAATCTTCCAGCTGGTATTCTTGCACGCATAACTTGGGAGAATCTTCCAGCTGGTATTCTTGAACGCATAATTTTGGCGAATCCTCCAGCTGATACTCTTGAACGCATAATTTTGGCGAATCCTCCAGCTGATACTCTTGCACACACAACTTCGGAGAATCATCCAATTTATACTCGAACGCATGTACACTGTGGTGATCTTCCAGGTCGCACCCATCATCCGTAGAGCCGTCCCCCAGCTGGTACTCGTACGCTTGCACCCTCGGTGCCTCCTCCACTTGAGAGTCCCCCTGATTGTCTTTTTTCGAAACGAACCCTTCGACCTGCCAGCCCTGCCGTATCCGCCCAGCACGATGATAACTGCTTGGGAGGTCCACTTGCTCGGAAGACCTACTCTCCCCATTAGCGCCAGGAGTGGTAAAAAATTGTTCACTCGAGTCAACGGGGGGGGTGCGCTCTTCCTCCGGGTGCTCCTCCTTCACTCGCACACACACCTGGGGTTCAGAACTTTTTGTGAAGCTCCCTATCCCGACCGCTTCGTCATCGTCGTATGCTTGCTCCGGCCACACATTCGCATGGTTATGATCACCTTGTCCCACCTGACCACCTCCGTCCCTTCCACTTGGGAGACCCTGCTGTGCCATCGGCAGCTCCTCCTTGACTCCCCCACTACTGTCTCTTGTCCTCTCTGAGAAGCTTCCCCCAATGGAAGAACCCTCCATGGACGGAGGTGTTGCTGCCTTTTTCCCGTCTTCACCAATTTGAATCGGGTCGCCTGCTGAATATACCCCCTCTACAATGGTAGCACTTTTTTCGGGTCGCTCCAGCATTCCTGTCTCATGTAAAGAACCCCCCAACATGGGGAGCTGTATATTATTGGCCTTCAAAAAATAATCACCGATATGCGTATCGACGAGCTGGCTAGTCTTCGGAGTAAGCAACCTAACCAAGGACGTCTTGATTCTCTCACACAATTCATTTTCGTAAATAAAAAAAACTTCTCTCTTATCTGGAGTAACATTAATGTCAAAATTTTTTGCGTCGGAAAGAATGTTGCAAATGATGATGGGGTACAACCTACTATTAAATTCTTTATAAATGGAGTTGATAATTTTATTTACATTTTTTATCACGTGTATTGGTCTACTGTTAATGTAATAAAATTGGATATCCCTATCTCTCCTGCCACTGTTGCTGTCACTTATGTATGCCCTGAGCTTCCATTCTTCTGAGTCTATATTGAAATCGATCAGATTACCAATGTTCCTTTTCCCATATATAGTATGTACACTGTTTTTAATAGTTTCCTTCCCGCCGTTAGTTAATAGCATATTCATATTCTTCACGTTCCCCTTCACCGTAACGACATTTTGAATCGAAAATTTTACATGAGAATAAATAATTGCGTACTGTTGCATGAGGAGAAGCAAATCGGAGAGCTGCGATTTTATATTTTTTATAAAGTCTTTTTTCCGTATAGGAATATTTTTAAAAATATTTTCACAACTTACTGTAGTTCCTCTCAATCGTGCAGTTGGTTCTTCATGACTTAGTCTTCCAAGGTTGTCAAATTTTAGCAAGTACCCATGGCTACCTTCATCATGCTTTGTTATTATGTGTAGGTCGCTTAACATACACAATGAATTTAATGCTTCCCCTCTGAACCCTAATGTATTTAACGAACTGTGTATATCTTCAAATTCTGTAATTTTTGATGTGGCATGTCTGGCACACACATTTTCGAAATTGGACTTTTTAATTCCTGCTCCATTGTCATTAACTTGTATTAATTTTATCCCATTTTCGACTAGCTTTATTTTTATTTCTGTTGCATTTGCGTCTATGCTGTTTTCCACTAGCTCCTTTACTACACTGCTCAGAGTGAATATCACTTGGCTGCTGCATATGTTGTGGATGGACTCTTCCCCGATGTTCTGGATCTTCATTTAGCTCATCGCGCAGTCAGACTGTACATACGTATACAATATATATGCATTACACATGCATCTATACGTGTGTGTGTGTCTCTCCCTCTGCGGTTTGTAAGCCTACGCTTGAGAGAGATGTTTTGCGAGCTAATGGGGACAGACGCCTCACAACAAGTGACCTCCCGATCTTACGATATGCCTCTTTGTTCAAGCAGCGGCAACTTGGGGGAACACAAAAACGGGGGGCAGGGGTGGCCACAACAGTGAGAGGTAAATGTATGCCAATGGAGTATTCACGATGACACAGAAAACGGATAAAGGGAAAAAACAAAAAAAAAAAAAATTCCAAATGGAGAGTACACACAAATTACACAAAATTGGGGAGAAACACAAAAAGGACTAAAAATTGAAACTCTCAAATGCTGGCCGAATTTTTTCGGAAGATTAGGAAAATGCCCAGCTTCATAACCCATGGGATACCACTTTTGGAAGACAAACATATAATGGCAAAAGTGGGCCTCCTCGCATCGCCTACGAACGCGCAGGAGCTTGCGAACGGCATGTGGTCAAAATTGTTTTAAAGGAAATTCTTCTCCCTTTCGGGTGAAATTCGGACGCAGCGCATAACGAGTGCAGGGAGCAAAAAAAAAAAAAAAAAAGGGAAGCGACATGGAAGCCAAAATGAAGCGAACGGGCACGAATGGCGACACCCCGCAGGACGACGAGGATGAAAGAGGACACGGAGAAAACTCAAGAGGTGCAATTGTGGAACTCTCCTTAAACACAAGAGCTGATTTTGCCCATTGTTTAAATGCCCCGCACAGTGAAACACGGCCCCACACCCGAGAGAACTTTGTGAAAAAAAAAAAAATGTGCGCCAAGTTTGAAACCGGCAATCAAGTTTGCGCCCTTATGAAGAAAAAAAAAAAAAAAAACGAGACGGAAGAGGCGCGCGGAAGGAGGCCAGGGTGTAGAGAGGCCTCACTTTTCCACATGTCCCGAGACCATTCCTGCCCAAATGGGCTCCCGAATTTTGCACAAAGACGGGGAAAGCGAACACAATTGCCGGGCTACTGCGCTCTTCGTGTGGAAGTAGCGGGCACGGCCACAATATCCCTATCCCTCCGCAGGACAGGGGAAGCTATTTAGAAGCTTATTATTTTTCACCCCACGGGAGAGAAAGGGAAGCCATGTAAACCCCTTATCCGGCGTGCTCGCAGGCACTCCTTTGTGAAGGAGCCAAGTAGCTTTACCCCATGGTGGGTGTGCACGTAAAGGTACCGTTTTGAAAACAAAATAGCTCGAATTAAGACACGGTGGATGGCACTTGATTAAGTTTTGATGCCCCACTAGGGCGGCGGGTGGCAAAAGCGGAAGAAATATCAAAGGGGAAGAAGAGTCGACGTGGACAAAGTGGCGATGTGCCAACGTAAAGAACAGCAATACACGCAAATGGACAAAGGCACTTGTCCCCGCCAAGTGGAGGACAACGCACAGCACAGTGAGGAGCACACCCCGAAAACAATGTAATAGTTACAATGATAAGCGGCTTCATCTGTCCGCGTGACTCATTTAACTTTGCGACTTCGTCCCTGCCCACGTTTCTCTACCTCTTGAGTAGATCTATCTCTTCCATTTTGCCATTCGTAAGAACATGTACACACACTTGAGTTGCCTTCGCACTCAGTCAGCCGAGCATGTAGTAGCACAGCGCGCCCAAAACAAAGAGGACAGTGTTGACAAAAATGAGTAAGGCGCTCAACACAAAAACAAACACGTAAAAAAAGAGAAAGGGATAATTATATATGTAGTAGTAAACAAAATTGACGTACACAAGCACCACTACATAGGCCTCATAAATCTGCAGGGGTGGGTACATATAAATGTTGATTTTCCCAAAGTGGGGACCATATTGGTATCCATCAACTAAGCATATCTCCTTTATTCTCCGATTAAAAACGTTGAAGAAATAAAAAGGAGTGTTAAAAAATAAATGTAGTTTATTTATAAAGTTATAATTTTTATGGTTTATGTGTAGCTTTTCGTTTCGAAAAAGGACATCCCCATTCGTGTCAAGTACCTCCGTCTGAAATTGGATAAAATTAAATTTGTCGTTGTAGTCATTGTTCATGTAGGACAGATTCAAAACAATGTCGATTTTGTATCCTTTTTTTATTTTCAGTTTGCTAATTTCTTTCTTCTTCAAAAAGGGAATGAAAAAATGAACAAAATTATGATCGTTGTGCGATTTATTTTTGCCTGACCATTTTTGAAAATTCACCTGACCTGTTAATATATTATTTTGCAAATAGGCATACTCCATTTCGTTATCAAAGTGGTGCAATTGTTCCCTATTCGTATAATTTTCTCCTTTGCTACAAAACGGATGCGTGTCCATTGTTGTTTTTTTCCAACTGTTCGAGCAACAGCATGTGTCCTTCCTCTTTATGTTGCTTAAAATTTCGCTTTGGAACGACTTTAAATGGTTCAGGTATGTTTCATGCGGCTCGCCCAGAGTGTTTTCCTGGTCAAGCGGCGTTCTGTCCACCCCCGCACAGCCGCACTCCTTCGCGAACTGACAGCGCTGCCGACGCAAGTACTCCTTTATGGGACTTTTGGAGAAGGAAAACTCCACCGGGTACACATACTTATTCTGGGGGATCAAATAAAAATATAAAAAAAAATAAACCATCAGGGAAAAAACAAACACCGCGACGTTTATTAGCAGGTACGTTACAAGCACGTACAGACAGTGCTTAACATTCAGGTTGGGGAAGGCGCTCTTCAGGTGGGCCTTCACCTTAGCATACGTTTTGTACCCAGACCTCGCCAAGTGATTTATCCCATTCCATGTGGCGTCCAACACGCCCTCCCCGCACCTCCTCTTTTTCCGCTTCCTCCTCTGGTACTTATACGACAGATAATCCTTCTGCTTAAGGTATAAATACTTCTTCTTCATTTTGCAAAACAGTTTTACATTCCTGATGGGGCTGTTGAGGCGCGTCTTTGCATTATCCATCGAGCACGATTCGTCCATTCTGGTTTCCGCCTCCCCGGTGTTGGAGTTCACTTCATCACGGTCCTTTACTTCTTCCTCTTCGATCGCTTTGTCCCGGTCTTCTAATTCATTCACGTTGTTTCCTGGCCCCGCGTCCCTTTCCCCCACGGGGTGCGCAGCGTCCCCTTTTCGAGGTAACATTCTTCAAAAATCGCCCACCACCACCATGTATACCTACATTCGCATTATATGCCTCCTCCCCCCGTAGGCACATTCTTCATGTGATTCACAAAATTGAACAAGTGGAGGAATCCTCTCCTCAGAGCTTCCTCAGAGCTTCCTCAGAAGTCTTCGCTCATTTCACCAAAAAAAAAAAAAAAATTTGCTAATTATGTGCAATTCTTTGCAAGTTGTTCGATCTGCTTTTGTCAGGAAAACAAAGGCAGACAAATGAGCGCAGCGAGGGAGGGATAAGCAAAAAGGGATGCCAATGGTAGGGCAATCTGATTCAATGGTGAAAAAAAAAAAATGCCACAAAAGGGGGATTTAACCATGGTACAGGATCCCCCCAAAAAATGGGAACTTTTAGTGGCCTCGAAAGGGAAAAAGCCAAATGGCAATTTGAAGGAAGGTCTATGTTGGAAGTTACTTATTTTTAATTTTCTTCTTTTTTTCTCTTTTTTTTTTTTTTTTTTTTTTTTTTTTTTTTTTTTTTTTTTTTTTTTTTTTTTTTTTTTTTTTTTGTCCTGTGCCAAAACGGGTGAGGGAACCAACAAGAGCACGGCGTTACTTGCAAAGGTTCTCAGCCCTGCTCGACGTGAAGAAATGTATTCGCACTGGGGTAGGAAGTGAGCCAGTGTACACATACCTCCTCAGTGTGCAAAAATTTTAAGTTGGTTCTATGTGTACCTTTCCTCATGCACTCTCAACACCAGGGCGGCTTTCCCTCCATTGGTGATATATCCACCCCGCGTGTGTTACACAAAGAAGAGAAAGCGAATGTGCTTAGGGTGCATGGGAGAGCATCCCTGCCAGTCGCACCCATAAAAAAAGTGAACAACCCATTCTACAAATGAACACGCAACAATAGTCAGTTTGGAAGTGAATCGAAATTTGTGTGTTAAAAAAAAAAAAAATGGCACTTTCACCTGGGTATAAAAACAAAGTACGCACTCGCCACACGAGCACCAGTACTCTCTACTGTTACATTCACGGTACATGGCAGCAATGGATCCCGTGCGGGTGAACAGATACACAGATAAACCAGTGTGCAGGTGGACCAATTAACGAGCTACGGTACGGCAAAAATATGTAGCGCTTTACGCCGCATTGTGCACACGCCTCTCTTCGCTCTGCAACTAGATCAACTTGCCGCTTCGCCGATGTGTAACCTAACCGTACAGCTTAACCGCGCGGCTATCGCCCCGTTTTCTTCACGGAATGAGGCGCTTGGGGTCCCGCGGGAAGAGCGACGTCTTGCGGATGTTGTTGAGTCCCAGGAAAAGCATGAGGACTCGCTCGAGGCCAATACCGCATCCCGAGTGGGGATACGACGAGTAGGCAAACGAGTCGATGTAAAAATTGAGTTTGGTCGGGTCCAAGTTAAACCGCTTGATATTGTCCAGCAGTAAATTCACATCGCTAATCCTCTGCGACCCAGACAAAATTTCCTCTCCCCTCATAAAGAAATCATACGAGTTAGAGATGGCGGGGTCGTCTTCGTTGTACATGGTATAAAAAGGTCTGAGTGCAGAAGGGAAGTTTATAATGATGTAGTAATCTGTGTGATGAGAAGCCTTCACAATTTTTCCCAACTCTTTTTCCATATCAGTGGACATATCATAGGATAAAATTTCTTCCTCTTTTAAATCAAGCTTATTATGTTTTATTAGCATTTTTATGGCCTCTTCATAAGTAAAAATTGGAGTGACCTCTAGCCATTGAAAATCTTCACATGGGTATTGTCCCTTTACAGTCTTAATAAGCATATCACTCTTACCCCCCTTTGTTAATTCGGTGAAAATATGTTTAAACAATGAATCGTAAAAAAAAACATTCTCCATAAAGTCATATTTGTAAGTCATTTCAATGTCTAACGACACGTACTCACAGAGGTGCCTATACGTGTTGCTATTTTCAGCTCGAAAAACAGGGGCCACCTCAAATACTCTGTCAAATCCCGAGTTAATACACATCTGCTTGTATAATTGAGGGGACTGTGCTAGGAAGCCCTTCTGGTTGAAGTAGTTAATCTGAAAAGCATTGGCTCCTCCTTCACTGCTTTCGCCTAATAATTTTGGAGTATGTATTTCGATGAAATTATTTTGTAGCAGAAAATTTTTAAAGATGGTACAGATTTGAGATTGCAAACAGAAGATGCTGTAGTTGGCATAAGTCCTCAAGTCAATACATCTGTTGTTTAAGCGATTGTCCTGATTAACCTTAATGCTTCCTTCTTCATTTGTTTCTTGCATATTTGCATCCTTTAACAAAAAGGGCAACTCCTTGCTCGTCTTACTTATACAAAATATTTTCTTTATGTGTACTTCGTACTTAATATTTGTGCTATCGATTGGTACTTCCGGCTTCACTACCTTCCCACTTATATCTACTATAGACTCTAGAGGAAGGTTGCTTACCCATTTAATCATGTTCTTATTCTTTTCATTATTTTTTATGTCTAGTATACATTGCATGGAGTATAGTTTTTGCCTCAAAATAATAAAGGCTAATGACCCTTTGCTCCTGATATCATGTATCCTTCCTCTAACCCAGATATCACTTGCGAGTAGGTCTTCTCCTCCATGCCCCGCAGCTACTGCAGAGTGGCTACCGGTGTCCTCTCTCTTTGCACTATCCACACTAACACACCCTCCTACCTTCATCAACGTGTTGTATATTTCTTCCAAATTTAACAACCTGATGTTATTTTTATTTTCCTTCATTTTGCTGACTTTAACAAAACCATAGCTTTCCTTTTCTATGTCCTCACAAACGTGCTCCAAAATTTTAGTGGCTTCATTTTTTAGGTTTTCCCTTTCTGCCTTTTTCGCTAGCTTCTTCTCTTTCTCTGCTAACTTTTTTGCCTTTTTCTCCTTTTTCTTATCACTCACTTCATCAACTCCGTTCACCACCTGCACCATGCCCTCCTTACCATTCGTCTGTTTGCTTCCCTCTTCCATTGTCCTTCTACACAGGGTTAAACTTGCCCTATCTTTAATGACAGTGTTGGCTACTCCTCCGATCGGTATCACACGACCCTCCTTAAACAATATGTACTTTTGCACGCCGTCCAATCTTCTCACAAGAGCGAAGCAATACCTTTGCATATGACTCTCCTCCAGGGCCCACGCGCATCACCAGCACAACTGGCCAAGTTAGGCAATTACCTTATAATATAAAAACGATTTCAACAATATTTTGTGTACGTCGATGCAGGCAACATTCATATGTACAAAGGGAATTACTCCAATCACTTATATCCTTTTAAAGCATAAATATGCTTCTTCAATAACGGGGTTATGGTATACGCATATGTAGGAGGGGGTATAGTTGTGCTGCGCCACTCGGTCGTGTTTGCGCCCTTCTGGGGGAAGCGGTCTCCGTCAGCACTAACACCAAATGGGAAGCTTTTTAATAAAAGAAAAAAGAGCAACAGTCTCCTGTAGCGTTGACGTTGCTGCTGCTTTTAACGTAAATGATGGCATGCCGGTCATCTTTATTCCTTTCTTCTCATGAAAGAATAAAAAAAATGGGTAAAAAAAAAAAAAAAAAAAAAAACTTCTTCAAATATCAACAACTATATGTGACATGCCCCCTCTAATGAGTCACCTCCGAAATATAAACTGAAAATGGGAAAAGCAGGTTCTTCACCTCATGCGGGAAGTCCCATGCTGATGGTGCTGTAAATTGCGCCGTTACTGTGGTAACCCCAAGTTGCTGCTTTTTTTTTTTTTTTTTTTTTTTCTGCCCCATTTTGGTGCGCTTTGGCACAGGGGATGTAGCACCGCAAGCGTTATACAGTCCGCCTGGTGGGTTCGCTACAAAAGAAAGGGAACCGCTTTTTATTTATAAGATCGGAGGTTGCAACGTTTAAAGGAATAGAGTCTGCATGCAAGTACTCCTCCTAGTCGTGGGTGTACAATACATACCTACTTGTACGAAGTGATAAAAAAAAAAAAAAAAAAAAAAAAAGCTACATTTTGGCGCCCACCCTAGGAAAAGCAAGTGCCTATGTATAACCATCTAGCGTGGCATAACTGATATATAGAGGTGGACAAAACAGATAGGGGAAATTTTCGTTCCCCATTTTTTTTTTTTTTTTTTGTGTTCTTTTTTGCGCCGCTTCAACCCATGAGTTGCGTCCGGCGGCATCCATTTGAACGGAACTTGAATTAAAAGGGGGAACATAACACTTATTTGTAATGTTTTCATGCAAATGACAAAAGTAAAATGAAGCATACACGTTAATACAAAACAAAGTGGAGCGACGCGAAAGAGAAGTCGCTGTGTAAACCACTCAGGGGTGCTTAGAGGCCTCTGCGCAAGGGTTCTCATGCCTCTTCAAGTGAGCACCCCTGATTGTTTACCCTGCCGGACACACGTCCACCGCTTCTTTCTTCGTAGCCATAACTGCCTTGATCTGTTGCTAATCGGTTCTGTGCAGGAAGGCACCTTCTCCCCACCAGAAAAAGACATGCCAACCTGGTAGGAGCTTCCTGCGTCCAGTTCTCCACAACAGCACAGTTGTATCACGGCTCCAGGTGTGAAAGGGCTAGGTGCAATTCCCGCTTGGCCGTGTCCAGGTCCTCAAACAGAATGGCTGCAAAGGTTAGAAGATATGCCAAGGGAAAAATGTATTGTGCAGGCTACGTGTGCACACGTGAATTCGTGCACATTGGTACCTTAGGTCTGTGTTTTTTTTTCTTTCTTTTTTTCGCTTTTCCCGTCACGCACCATTAACGGCATACTGCGCATGCTTCAAGCTCGCGGCAAAATCAACTCCGTTCTGTTGCGCCATGTAGGCCTCTGCGGAAGGTTCAAAGGGAAACAAATTGGAAGCATATGTACAATCCGTAATGCGATACGTGCGTACCCCATCGAATGGAGCGAACTTTTTAAAGGGGCGCATTTGTCAGGCCAAACTTTGGCTGAATTTTTTTTTCCTTAACCCAATTCAAACTTGTTCATGTCCTTTGAACCGTCGCAGTTCTCCGTGTAGTCCTCTTGGGTGGTGTGCCCGTTGGGCTCTCCTTGGTGCATCTCCTCTCCCCAGTCGGGGGCTCCTTCATCACCGGGCGCTGCTACAAAAAATGTGGGCGAATTCATCCTTGTGGTTGTAAGCGAGGGTGTATACACACGCACATACGTATATGTATATGTATATATGCATGTGCAGAGCTAAGTCTGCGCCCATCGGGTAACCTGGCGCAGGTGTCTCGCCCCCCTCGTTCCGAGGAGAACCGGGCACGGGCTTTATGCCGTTGTCAAAACATTTCTTCAAATAAACCGTTTTGTACTTGGCATACAAATATTTTTTCTTTTCATCGTCGTCCAATTTTTGGAAGTGATTTAAAATTTCGTAAAATATTTGAGACGTGAAAAACATGTGCAGCGTTTTTTTTGTTATTTCTGCCTGTCTATCGTGCCGGTCAGCCGCTAGGAATAGCTCTGAGAGGGTGTCACAAAAAAAAAAAAAAAAAAAAAAAAAAAGAGAGCGGTGGCGGGCATTTTTTTTTTTTTTTTTTTCGGAAAAAAAAAAAAAAAAGGGGAAAAAAAAAAAAAAAAAAAAAAAAAAAAAAAATGATGGGGAAACAGAATGGAATTATTTACCCATTTGTATTATTCAGTTTCGCACAAAACGTGGGTACTTTTTTTTTTTTTTTTTTTTCATTTTTGTGGCCTTGTTACTTTTGCAAAAATCGGCTAACTTCGTGTAGTCCACTGCGTCCAAAGATAAGCGCATTTGTTCAGCCTTGTCTAGACATTGTAAGAAGACATTTTTTGCCTCTTCAAGGTGGAAGTGAGTGAGCGTGAGTGAGAGTAAGCGAATGTGCACGAGCACGAAAAAAAGGAAATAAAGTGTAAAACAGGTATCCATTATAAAGCGATTTTTCCTTTCCTCTATAGTGATTGCCCCATTTGTCTTTCCTCCACCCGGTGGGCACCACTGGCGAATTTATGCCTATTCTTACGTACCTATATCGGTGCTATTGCTCTTTACGTAGTCGTTCAGCTCCTCCACGATGTATAGGGTGCACAGGAAGGAAACTGCTCATTTGGGAAACGACGGGGAAAAGAGGTGGGTGCTAGTCGTCCGCCTGCTTTGCAGTTGTGCAGGGGCATCACGCACATGTGCATAAATGAATATATATATATGTATATATGTGTCTGTGCATAGCTTCAGGCACATTCACGGTCGAGCCGCTGCGGCCTCTTGTCTTTCCGCCCCTCCGGGGTACCTAGCAAATGGTCCCTTTCCAACTCCTGCGCCTTTTTCCATATGAACTGAATAGACTTCATGGATATTTTTTTGCCTCCCCCCCCATCCTGCTCCCCCTGCGCTTCCATCTGGTTGCCTTTTTTCCGCACTGGGTGGTACAAGCGCGATATTTTCAGTCCGTTGGCAATGCGCGCAGCGTCGCCAATCTGTTGCCTGGGGGACAAGTGCTGCTAATCTGTTGACAGTGTGCGTTTTTTATGAACCTACTTCGAAGAGCTTTTCTTTTCCAGACCTCGTGGCTTTTTTTTTTTTTTTTTTTAACCTCAAATAGCTGTTTTTGTTTTAAAACCTTAAATGGCTGTTTTTTTTTTTTTTTTTTTCTTGCTCGTTCATACAATAACGGAATTTTTTTTTTCCCCACGCTTGTTCATACAGTAATAGCATTTTTTTTCGCGCCACGCTAATGTGCTAATTACAAACCGGTACGTCCAACGCCACACATGGGCCTTCGCCCCGTGAAAAAGGCAACAATGTGCCTCATTACGCAGTGAACACACATGCGGGGGGCAAAACTCCTGAATGCAGCTTCCGCCGCTGTAACCTCAGTCTCCCTCGCGGGGGAAACAAATGCACACGTAGTAGGCAAACCATGTATGCAGCTCATAGATTAAAAATTAACAAAAGTTAGAATGGGAACTGTTGCAAGCTTGTCCCTGAAAGGGCATCACACTGTTCGACTGGCTTGATACGCATGTGTAAGTGCCCTGTCTGGACTCCTCTCCAAAGCTCAAGCATTATATGCCCCTTGAACGGGTTCAAGAATGTTTGTTCAAAGAAACAATCCCACGCGCAACGTGTACAAAAATGCAAATACGAAAAAAAGGAAAAAAAAAAAAAAAAGGGGGGGAAATGAAGCAGTTGCTGTTCCACACAAATAGTGCAGCACTATGCCGCTATAAACATGCACTTTTGATAAATCAGAGGAAATACAAAAAAAAAAAAAAAAAAAAAAACACATACAGCTATACAGTACGGGCGAGACAACTCTACACCCTTTTAAATAACCCCAGACAGATACACACAAATACACTTGAACAAATCAACCGCCGTCGACGCGACTCCTGCGAACAAAATGACATTTTGAAAAAAAGGGGCCATAAAGGAGCAATACACGGGCACATGCAAAAAAGTACATAGTGCTTCTCCCACAGGTACACATATACTAGGGGTCTCCTCCATTAACTGCTCCAACAGACTATACCCTCCTCAAGCTGTTCATTATAAAATCCCTATTGGCCCCCATATCACAGTCAATTTCGTTTAGTAAGTAGGCCTGATATAGGGCATTCACCCCTGCACTGGAGAGGGTGAACTTCGTCGAGCGCTCATATGCACTGATTAATACTTCATTTAGAATTACGAACAACACATGCTCATCATCCATGGGAACAAACACCTTTAGACAGTGAAAGAAGAAAAAAAAATTCACTCTTAATTTTGCAAAACCGTATTCATTAAAATGTAAGTCGCGCACATATTCACTGTAATTCTTAAACAAAATTTTGATTATCACGAGAATAATTTTTTTATTTTCCAAGTGCAAATTTCTTTTGTAGTTCTTCATTTTGCACATATACAATTTGTACATGTACATTTCCAGGTTTTTCTCATCGTGGGCTTCCTTCTGCTCCGTGTTGCCTAGGTCACTGTGGTTCCCCCCAGGGTAACTTCCGCCTCCTTCATGACTGTCCCCACCTGCTTGCAACTCGGAAGAGTTCCTTCCCCTCCTCCCCTTTGCGTACTCCTTGCACACCCGCTCCAGTGCCTCCCCTATTTTACCCTTGACATCGTTAAACTGGTCCGCCTGAGTAGCAGCAGAAGCAGTAGCGGCAGTACCGGCAGTAGCGGCAGTACCGGCAGTTCCACTCGCCTTGCTCTCCAAGAAGGACGCCAAGTGGGAATAAACCGCGATAATGTTGTTCAAGAGGTATATCAAATTTGTGCTCACTAGGTCGGTCTTCTTCCCTGCAGTCCAGTTCTCCCTTTGGATGAATTCCTTTACACTCCTGGACATTTTATTTAAGTAGTACGAAACGAAGGCGCTCATTAATTCGTTTCTTTTTTCGAGGAATTTAAATTTTGCAAAGCTGCGAATTCCAACGACGCACTTGTTCGTATTATCCTGGTCATCTTCATAGTCGTCATCGGAGCGAATTTCATCCGACCTGGTTCCTTGCGAGGCGTTTTCCCCTGAAAGGAGGGTGTCTTCTTTACGAAGTTCTCCTCGTTGGGGGTCCCCTTGGGCCACTAACTTGGCTTCCTTTCCCTGTTCGACTTCTGCACCTTTATGGGCCGTAATGGCGGCGTGCCCAGCCTCACCTGCTTCGCCCCCCTGGACAGTAATCAAGCTCGCGCTCCTTTTAAGAAGAAGATCCTCACCAGAGTGCCCAGACACAACATCACGACTCTTCATTTTGTCTCGTTTTTCGTCCTGCCCGCAAATAAACACCGAGTGAAGCTTTCCTTCTTTATCCGTTTCTGCATCATCCTGTGTGGGCAAGTGTTCTAACCCCCTCGCGTTATCTTCCTGCCCATCCAGCACTTCCCCCCCCTCGAACGTGTAGTAACCGTCGTTTCCAGCTCGATTCAAATACCTCTTCCTGATGGACGACATCCCGCTCGAGTGAGTTTCTTCATCGGTGTATGTATCAGCTGGATCTTCCTTCCTCTTCTGTCCCTCCTCCCCTACCTCCATTTTGCAAAAAGGATACGAATCTTTATATATGAGATCCTCAAAAGTGCAGCGAAGGCTAATCCTCTTGCGCTCATTCACTAACGTATGTGCTCCTTTATACATATCCAATATAACTGTGTACACTTTGAACACTCCTTCTTTTCTCATGTGGTCCAAAATTCCCACAAGGGTAAACAGAAAATTTATTTCGCTTTTTTTCTCTGCCTCGAATTTGTGTTTCTTTATTATGCTTTGTATAAACTTGTTAAAGTCCATCTTCATCGTCTTTTTCCTCTCCATCAAGGTGTTTTGAAATTGGCCTCCGTCAAATGTGACGCTGTGATATATCCACTTGGCTGTGCATTTGCAAGTGTTTTTTTTTTTTGTTTTTTTTTTTTTCCCTTCCTCCTCCTCATATGTATTCTCCACGTCGCTGTGATATACCTGTGGAGGGTATATATTTCTGCATTGGAAAATTTGCTCCTTGTCGATGGGAGCATCCTCTTCATAGCGGGAGCAGCCACCATAGGCAGCACCATCACCCCCGTCTCTCCTGCGCCCCTCCCAAACACACACGAAGTATCTGATGAAGGAGTCCACAAACCTCACCAGGAACAAAAAATAAATCGTCACAAAATTAATCAAATTCTTGAAGTAAAAATCGGTGCTTGTTAAGGGTATCTCTTTGTAGAAGGCCTCCAAGTCGATGAGGACAAGACAAAGACTTAACAGAATATGGTGACTGAGCTCGGGCTTGTTTTCCATAATGTAACTAGCTTCCTTCTCCTTGCACAGGGAGAAGAAGTTCATGAGGCTGCGATCATTCTGCAGAAGCAAGCGGTACATGTGGAACTTTAGCAGTTCGGAGTTGATTCTCTTGAGGAACTCGTCCATGAGGAGGCACACATTGCCCGTGTTATTAATGTTAGTGCTTCCACGGTGGGTATTATCAAGGTTACCCCCGCTGCTGGCCTCGTTGCTCGTCCCTTTACTAACCATTTCATGCACCTCCTCCTGCAGCAACCGCACACACCGCGCGACAAGTTTCACGGGGGGGTTGAACATGTATATGAGGTCAATGGTCAGCTGCTGCAAAAGCTTGAAGACAATCTTCATCAGAAATTCGACCACCTCCAGGTCGTCATCCGTGCCCAGTAGGGCTTCCAGGTGGTCCTCCTGCCACTTCATCTGAGAATGGTTTCCTCCATTTGGTGCGTTGCCACGATTGACGCCTGTGTTGAGGTAATTTGCTTTACCTGCGCCTTGTCCCACGGAGGATGGGATGGTGGGCGGCGCCCCCCCACGTTTCCCCTTTACGTCAGCTGTGACCGTTGCCATCTTCCTCATCAAGGCCCTCAAGTGTGGTATTCCGCCAAGAGCTTCCACGCTTCCCTGTCTCTGCATTCCCTTCTCGCCACCCGCACAATAAAAGTCGCGCAAAAATAGCTGTTCATAGTTCCGTATCATGGTGAAGAAAAAATGTAGCCATTTCGTGTAGGCCAATTCTAACACGGCTTGGAAAACCCTGTTATGTCCTTCTTCGTGTGGATCACTTTCACCGGCGTGACGTGCGTGCTCCTTCTCCTTCACAGGCTCATTAGGCACCCAAGCGAACTGACCATCATCCTCTTCACCTTTCATAATTTCCCCTTTGATGTAACTCCCCCAATTGGTAATTTCTCGTAGTAGGTACTTGATCGCTGCAAGTCTATTCAATAAAAAGACATTTCTCACGTCCTTTTTGTCTTTACCATATGCCAAAATGAGATAAAGGGATGAAGTGATTTGTTCGTTTGAGGTGATTTGCTCACAGAGGTGATTAAAAAAGTCCTCCCCAGTGTTCGTCTGTATGTGGGTGAGGTGCTCCTCATGCTGCTTGTGCTCACTTAGGTTGGAAGTGAAACCCTTACGGAGTTGCTCCTCATAATAGTAACAAGCGATGCTCGCCATATTTTCGCTGTCTACATACAAGTCGCGAAATATGCGCATGCTTCTATTATTATAAAAAAAAGGAACAGCCTCCATAAAGAGTTCCAATGACTTGGTGTAATCCCCTAGGATGATGAAATCAAACATCCTCCTCGGGATACTCATAATGTTATGAACCCCATGAAGTAATTCCTTAATCAGAAGCAAACTTTTAATCTTTTTATAATTTTTTCCAATTCTGTGGTTCATCAAATGAGAATTATTATCTATACAATTCAAGTGCTCATTTATATCTCCTATTCTGTTTTTAACATATGAAAAATTTTTCTTAAGATTTACAATTGTGTCTGCTGCTTTAATAAATTTATTATAATTCTCGTACACTACTGACTGCATGAAATTATCATTTTGTTTAATTTCCTTTTCTATGTGTTTTGATTTTTGTATCAAATCTGTTAGGGTTGCCTTTTGTAGCATCTTTTTAAAGTACTCGCTGACGTTAAAATCGGTGCTTTTCTGGTTAAGCTCTTCTGAATCGCTTGCATCTACGCGTTCTTCCGTGCACATCTCGTTGCTTCGAAGTACTTCACTTACTCCCTGCGCCTGGTCCCCATTTCCACTGCGCCCATCTAGCCCATAGTATCTGTGCAGGATCGCCCCGACGTTCTTTCTCCCCTCGCTTGGCTTCTGCCTGTTCATCTTCACAAATTGGAGACGGTGCCGGGAACGGTGCGGCGGTCCTCTTTCTACTTCCGTCTCTGCTTCCGTTTGTGCTTCCCCTCGTGTATGTGTTTCGGGGGACAGCTACAGGAAAGTAAAACCCCCCACCCCACGCGACCTCCTCTATATCTGAAACCTCACTCCTGAAAGGTGTGTCTGTTCCCCTGAATAAAAAACTGTACACCCGGAGGAGCACAAACTGGACTAAACAGCTCCAATCAAAGCAGCCATGCTTTAACCTCGTTACCCCTATCTCGAATGGAGCAGAAAAGGCGGGAATAAAAAAAAAAAAAAAAAAAAAAAAAAAAAAAAA